TGGAGAGAGAGGGAATAAGCGAGGTCATAGTGGGGTGCTTACCTTGGAGGGCTACGCGTGGAGGGGAGAAAGAGTAGTGCGCGGAGGCTTTGTGAAGAAGGAGGTGGCGAGGGGGAACGAACCCACACCACTTACCGAAGAAGATCCAATTAGTGTCTGCCCATCATTTCTGTGGGAAGGGGATGTTGCAGGCGGGCAGTATAGCGGAAAACCTGCAATAGGGGTTTGGCTGCTTACCCCTTGGTTTGAGTGTTGGCTATCTGATTGAATGGCTAGAGGGTCGGATGCGAGTTGGAGACTTGAGTTACAGTCACCTTGATATCCGAGACTAGCTAACTAAGTCGGCCACTGAACTACTACTATTATGCCGGGGCGTTACAGTTATGCATGTGAGCGTCGGCAGTCTATTTCGGGAGGGATACGATAGAAAAGACTACCGCGGTAGACTACTGCTGCAGCCTGCGGTGGCATTTTGCAGAACTCCCCGGAGCGTTCGCGACGGTGGATGAGGTCATAAGGCGCTAAGTAACAAGGGACAGACTCTGTTATGGCTGGCAAGCTATTGCCACAGTTAGAGTCTGATTGGGTTGAGTACCTACGACAACAAATGCGTGGACTAACGGACTGCAGGATTATTGCAACATGGCTGTAGGCTGTGGTCCTGCTGTAGCAGGACTGCGTGCGAACTATCGCTGCATATTGGAAGCCTGCCTCGACTGACCGTAAGGGATTGTGGTCGACTGCGGCTGGTGAATGGAGTTGTTGATTGTTGTTAGTTACTGCAATTACTGTATATTGTTGCGGCGATTGCTGGCTGGTATCAGCTGGTGGGTGGCTGTGGCTAAAGACTGAGGAGGGGTGAGGAGATGAGGAGGAGATCGGACTAAACTACTAGAAAGGGGGGTTAGTGCTGCGATTTAGGGGGTCAACAGAGGTTTGACTTTAAGGGTATGGTCCGGAGTTTTGACCAAGCTGCTACCTTGGCCGCCATTGCGGGGCCCTCAGGCGAGTGAAGGTTTTAAGGTCCTCTCTTGCGAGGCTGAGAGCACCATTCTTGGATCTGACGGTCTCTACCCTTCATTTCTATCCTTTCGATCTCTCAGTCTAGTTCTGGTTCTGAGAGGAAGGTGGCAGGCGGGATTGCAACCTGTAGGACCGCATCAAGACTTTGTTGGGAGTTCACCCACCGATTGCGGGAGCTCTGCCGGAACCTAGGCGAGGTTCTGGAGGCAGGGAATCATCAGGTATACCATCTTCATCTGTACAACCTACTACTACCCATGTTTGCCTATCTCCCTGTAGTATGATTGCGGTATGCATGTGTTGTCCCTATGGTTTTTGCTTTCTCTTCAGGACCTAATCAGATTGAATGGAAGGAACCTATGAGAGTGAAGCCTAAGTTTTTTTCTTTATTATGATTGAAAGCAGACAAAGGGATAAACTGGGGGAAGGTGGGAGGAAGACAGTTTTGCATGCGTTTGGAAAGGTCAACCAAAGCCTGAGCATTGTTTCTAATGTGAATGGCTCAGGGTTATGTTTATTTGGCTGTTTTCTGAAGGACCAGGCATTGTTTCTACTGTGAATGGCCTGGTTGCTATGTTTGTTTAGTTGTTTTCTGGAGGATCAGGCATTGTTTCTACTGTGAATGGTCTGTTTACTCTAGTTAACTCCGAGAGTTTGCCTGATTGAAGGGGTTTAAATTCTTGTTTGTTCTGAGGGAGGACTTTTGGTCTAAGGCTTTGTTTCCATGGTGAATGGTTTAGCCTGAAAACCATGCACATAAATTAAACTGAGTATAAAGGAAAGTATTTTATTTATATTTGCATGTGAACTAGCAGCTGGGCATTGTTTCTACTGTGAATGGTCCAGGGTTAAGTCATATCATTAAGAAGAAAAAAGGAAAAATACAAAGTATAAATGGAAATAGTCTAGTCAAGCGGAACATTGTTTCTACTGTGAATGGTTCAGTCCACTGCCCATATTTGTCTTTTCTTTTGAAAACAAAGTCTGAGAAATACTAAAATTTTAGATATTAAACAGCTTAGGGCGACCAGGCATTGTTTCCATTGTGAATGGCCCAGTCATCTGCCCAAAAGAAGAGAGAAGTAGTTGTGCAACCTATTCGTGTATATCATAAAGACAAGTTGGGCATTGTTTCCATGGCGAATAGTCCAGCTCTATGTCTTATGTAAGATGGGTATAAGGATTCAAGGACTTAAAGATTCATGAACTATCTATATGGAATGAACTTGGGATGGTGAGAGTACCTACATTCGTGGTTTGGTTTGCATGTGTCTGGATGGGATGGTTAGTCTGTTTGGGTTTCAGTATTATCGATAGTTGCTTTAGTTGTTCGCCACGTGCTAGAGCCTGCAGTTTCTGTAATAACTTTTTTTACTTAGGTCAATTCCTGCATTTTCTGAGATCTTTTTTTATATAATTGGCTTTGTATAAATCTTGGCGAGCTACTTTTCCTACGGGAAGCGCTGCCGAAATTTTTACAAATCCAAGGAGTTAGTCAACTTTTGACTTTTTCAGAGTTCAACTTGTCTTTTCTTTATATCTGGCTTAGTAGGAATCTGGAAAGTATCATTTTCTAAAGGGAGTGCTGCCCAAATTTTTACTAATTCAGGGAGTTAGACAAAATTGGACTTTGAGAAGTCAAAGTTATTCTCAAATTTTGGACCTCGCTTTGTATAAATTTTGCTAAAGCACTTTTCTGGAGAGAGTGCTGCCGAAATTTCTGCAAAATTGAGGATTTAATTAAATCTTATCTAAATTGAACTCAAGTTTGTCTTGCGAGTTTAAATCTGACTTAGTATAAATCTGAGAAGTCTCCCTTTGGAAAGGGAGTGCTACCCAAATTTTTACTAATTCAGGGAGTTGGACAAAATTTGATTTTCCAGGAGTTAGAGATTATTTTTGCTCTCATATCTGGGCTTGTATAAATTTTGAAAAGACATTTTTCCTACGGGAAGCGTTGCCGAAATTTTCTTAGTTTAGAGGAGATAGATTATATTTTGACAGGTGGTGATTCAGGCGATCCACCCAGAATAGGGGAGATTCTGCAGTTGGTCTACCTTTGGCTTAAGCACTGGCTTAAGAGTAGACTTAGGTTTAGCTTATAAGGAGATTTTTGAGTGAGGATGGATTATGGAGTTGTATTCTCCATACACTTATGATCTTAGTTTGGGGATTGGTCTGTCGTGTGTTACAGGTCTTTTTTTATCATTTGATTTAAGTTGAGGACTAGATCCAGCTTGATCCCTTGAGGATCACTTTCTGTTATCACTGATAACAGGTCGGTTGCCGATTCGTCGGTCTACGACTCAATTTCAACTCTCCCTCCACACTCAACCTAAAAGGCTTTAGCCCTGGTAATTTCGTTGTTTCATTAAGGTTTCACCCAGACTTTTATTGAATGGTCATTTAACAAAGGTACTGAGTATTTTAATTAAGGTTGGTTGGACAGGAGGTTTGGGGCTTGCATGGCTAAAGCGAGGGGTATGAGTGTCGAAGGTAGTTGGGGTTGACTCCGAGTAGTGCGTGGACTTCGGGATGAATTTTTGATGTGATTGCAGGTGCGGTTGTGGTTCGGACTCTGGATGTGATTGCCTGTGATTACATATTTATATAGTTGAAAGGAGCCCCACAGTGACTGTGAGAAGTGATCGTCCTATATAACTAATCCTTATATATTTATAACTGCCATGAGCATTCGAGAGGCTTACTGCAGTTGTGGATAAGGGTTAACCGGATTATGGCTTGAGAGGAAAGGAAGACCCTTTGTTATCTTTTACTCTTTGGAGTTTTTATAGTTGGACGTTATAGTCCGTGACAGCCGTCAAAGTCAAACCTCTTGACGTTCAACTGCCACGACAGCTTAAATCTGTCTACTCAACCCCTCTGCACAGGGTGCACAGGGTGCAGAAGAGGGTGTGGTCTTCAACCGCGCATGGCGGTTGTCCAGCGTCGAGAGATTAACCCTCAAGGCGCGTGTCAGCCGACACTTGAGTGTCGAGTGCGACCTTCGAGATTAACGAGGGCCGCGTAAGTATGGGTACTACATAGTACGCCATCATTGCGACCGCTTGCGTACGCTTGCATTGCGAGTCGATACGAGTTAGTCCTGCGTCCGCGTGGTTTTATACTAAGTCTCGTGCGCTACGCCTGTTTGATTTCGGCATTAGAAAGTTATGGGTTGGCTACCGAGGGGCTAGGAGCGTTGTCGCGTTGTTCGTGTTGTGTCGTTTTGTATATGTGTTGTTTTATGTGTATGTGTGTTTGTAAAGTGGAGTGCGCGTGGTGTGTGGGATGCGTCATAGTCGACCGATGACGGGTTACGCTTGGGACCTCAGCCCCCCAAGATGCCGATTTGCGTGCGGATCCGATAGAGGCGTATTACCGCGCGTACCCCCTATGCTACAGCGAACGAGAAACGCCCTCGGCTGGTCCACCTCTGCGATGGCAGCTGATTAGTTTTCGTACTGTGGATTGGTAGCTCGGCGGGGATACGCCCACCGAAGGGAGGTGGCAGCTCCCGTAAGGTGTAGGTAAGTCGTACCTCGCGTAGGCCCTATCCTGTCGTAGGGGCTCGCGAGAGGTATGACTGGCACACTCGGGCGGAGCGGCTTAAGGAAGTTCCACATGTATTACATGTGACGAAGGATTTAGACCAACTCCTGCGTGACGTGGCCGGGAGGGTCCCGCGCTGCCCTGGTGAGGTGCCGGACCGATGTGCTCGACAGGTGGCGCCGTTGCCGGGGATAACGGAAAGTCTACCGTTGTCCCTGGTGGAACGACATCCGGGTATGAGAAGTGAGTGAGAAAAGGCATAAAGGAAGGACGAGAAAGTGAGAAAAAAAAAAATAATGAATGACTAAGTACAGGGGAGGAAATTTACCTACCTGAGTAAGGGAAGGTATAAAGGACGAACGTGTAGCATTGGGTAAAGGTACGTAGTAAGAGTTAGGTAGGACGGATGAAATAGTCCGGTCAAGGTGCGATGCTGAATAAAAAGAGGTATGCTTGTTTTTTTTCTTTCTTATCAGGGAGCTTGAAGAGAAAAATTTGTCAAGATGTCGCAGGGCGGCGGCGCATCGGGTGGTCCCAAAAAGGGTCTGACGCTCGATGACCTCATTGCGGCCATTGACCGGCATGAAAGGAACCCGAGCAATATCCCTAAAGTCGATAACTTCCACTTTTGTGGGGAGAGGGTTTCAGAATGGCTGGTGCGGGTGGAACAAGCTTTGGTCGGGCGGTCGGACGTTGTAAAGTTCCAACGCATTCTTCAGTATGTCCTCCACAGCTACCACGAGGAAGTGAAGAAAGTCATAGATGTGGCCCAAGGTAGCTGGGAGAGGTTCAAGGAGGGGATGCAAAGGAAATACCGCCTGGGAGACGGGCTATTGACTATCGCGGACCTTGAGGCGATGAACAAAGAGGATTTTACGATGATAGGGGCCTTTGTTCAAGAATTTAAGAAGAGGGCGCGGAAGGTCCATGGGATTTTGGAGGAAGCACAGTGCGCCATTTTCCTAGGGTTGCTCACGGCATCGGAGGGCGTCGAGTTGACGAGACATGGAAAGGGTAGCACCAAGCTCACCTGGGCCACCATTGACAGAGGGGTGGAAGTTGGGTGTTTGGAGCAGGTGGAGCAACGTCAGGTACGCCTGCAAAGACAGAAGAGAAAGGAAAGAGATGCGACTGCTTCTGGGACCCCGAGGGTAACAAGGATCGTTACAGACGTATTGGCACAGCTGGGGTATGAGACAGAGCCGGTGGTGCAAAGGAGGGTAGTAACGGCTGTCCAAATGAAAGGAACGGAGTCGGTGATAGAGGAGGCTGCTCAGGAGGAGCTCTGGGAAGAGGAAGAGCCGGTGCCGCAGCGCCTGACGAAGGTCCAACGCAAAGTGCGTAACTTAGCACAGGGCGGACAGGGATGAGGAAAAGCGCAGGCGCCTGAGGCCTTGACAACAACCCCTTTGAATGTGGCGGCTCCATCATCTAGTACGGGTCCCTCGCAAGGAGGGACGCCCTCCTACGGACAGTGGCCCTGGCCGGTGATCAATGCAATCGTACCATGGGGTAGCCCGCCACCAGTAGCCGGACCGCAAACGAGTATGCCGCCACCCATCTACCCCGCAGCCCAGGCCCAGCCTGTGGCCCCGCCACCGTCACCCGCTCCCAGTTCACAGGGAAGCGTGGCTGGAGGTGGGAACCAGGGGCAGGGCAATCAAGGCAACGGAGGGAGGGGTGGAGGAAGGGGGCAAGGCAGGAATGGCGGCGGAAGGGGAAGGCAATGGAATGGTCAAGGTCTGGGGTACCAAGGTCATGGAAATCAAGGTCAGGGGTACCAAGGCCAAGGGAATGAAGGCCAGGGGTACCAAGGCCAGGGGTACCAAGGCCAAGGGTACCAAGGCCAAGGGTATCAAGGCCAGGGGGATCAGGGAAGTCAAGGGTATGGAAGACCCCGTTTTGACTGGAGGACAACCATCTGCCAACATTGTGACCAACAAGGCCACACTATAAGGTTCTGCAATATAAGACGGGAAGACGAGAGAAGCGGGCTGATTTCCTCCACTATGGATGGGAACATCTACGATCAGTTTGGGGAGGTCATTGATAGAAGGCTTGGAAGAGTGAGGGCGGAAGCCCAACGAAGGGCGGCAGCTGGGCCGCCACCCTCTGCCATGTTCAGGCTATGGCAGGAGAAGAAAGGACCGTCGGTGGGGATAGAGGAATTCAGGTTATGGCAGGAAAAGGAAGAACCACCGATTGGGGKAGAGGAAGTGRGAAGCGATGAGGAAGTGACTCAAGGGCCACGAGGAGGAAGTAAGGGGGAAGAACCCATAATCATTGAGTCAGATGACGAGAATGAGGAAGAAAGGATGGAACCTTCGTCCGTATTGTTGGGGAAAATGGAGGATCTGCTGGATAAGATGGGGAGGTACCAACATAAGTTGGTAGGCCTCTGTGAGGAAGTGAGGAAGTGGAAGTCTGACATCCCCAAGGTGTTCCTCTACGACTCTGGTTCGGAGTCAGCACCTGGGTGACCCAGAGTAAATATGGTGGGGTCGTGCCAACAATCGGGAATGAGGGGAAGACCCCTCACCCCGCAGGCCCGGCTGGCACAGGCAGCATGAACGAGAAATCAAGCCAAAGCCAGCGCCAACCAAGAGCCTCCAAGGAGGGAGCTGGAGCCAGGAAAAAGAAAGGAGGTTGTGGAAGTGGAGGATGACAACAATGAGGAGGAAAAGGACGAGAGGCTGCGCAGGGAGGAGGATCAGAGAGCGGAGCAGCGGGCAAGGAAAAAGGGAGTCAGGGGAGAGGTCGAGCCGGTCGTGCGCGACGGACCGCCCAAAAGGAAGAAGTATGCGGTTCGGTTGGAGGAGGGGTTTGACGTGGAGAAAGTGATCGACCGACTGCTAGAAGGGCACAATGACCTCATGACTCTGAAGGAAATCCTAGCGTCGGCCCCGCAACTCCGCGATGAACTGAAGGGGAGATTGTTGCGGCGTCTGGTGTCCAATGTCCATCTGGGTACGATCCTGCCCAAGGTGGCAGAGTGGGCGGAGTCAGATACGAAGATGGACTGGAAGTGCGTAGCCTGCGGCACGGTGGATTTGGTGGTGAAGGGTTCCAAGTGCGCAGCAATGGTGGACACCGGGGCAGAGATGAACATTATTCAGGAGGCGGATGCGATCAGATTCGGGCTGGATATAGACCGTTCCGACTGCGGTATTCTGCACGGAGCCAGCTGCAAGGCCGTATTTTGTGGGACAGCCTCGAACGTACTCATCGAGGTTGGAAAGGTGAAGGCCCGGGCTTGCTTCTTCATCATGCCGGACGTGGATCACGGAATCCTCCTAGGGAGGTCATTCCTAAGCAGGATAGAGACCTTGATATTCAATAAGCATGACGGGACGTTAATCCTCCTCTTATGCGACCCTGCGTGTGGGAATTACGAAATAATTACCTGCAGGAACACAGGACCGAGGAGTATAAGGAACCGGCCCAATCCAGGATCCTTCACGATTGAAGAATCGAAAAGTGAGCGTCGGAGGTTCCGGGCAGAGCCAGAAGGAGAAGAGAAAGTGGGGGCATTTTCCCTCAGCTTGTCAGATGTTGGCAGGGCTATGGACTTGGTAGTCGCGCATGAAATGGCAGATCCGGATGCCATCCAAGCTTTGAGGGAGCAAGTTATTGCATGCCCCGAGGCAGGAAGGTTGGAACTGGTATATCGGTTTTCGGGCGGCGGGAGCCGCATTAGCGCAGGCGCAATCTGTGAGTCGGTCTTTTTTAGGGGGCGGCTCCAGCAGGGTTCCCAAAGGCGGTACAAGACGGTAGATAAGAAATGTTGCCCGGTTCCCGTCCTCGTTACAGAAGATGAGGAAGCGTACTACGAGAGGGAACAAGGGTTGATACAGCAAATGAGGGAGAGTGCTCTAGCAAGGCCATGGCGTATCAACGAAGGGATCGAGGGGAAGTTGATTATAGGGGAACCCGACTTCCTACTGCCTTAGGAGCGAGCGTTGATGGTGGAATTGATGAAAAGGAGGCATCGCGCCTATGCGTTTAGTGACGAGGAGCGTGGCAGGCTGGATGCGGACAAGATACCTATGATCTGCATCCACACCGTGCCACACGAGCCTTGGAACATGAGAGGGGCGCGATATCCCAATCCTGACGAGGAAAAGAAGGTGGTGGATTACCTCGACGGCAAAATACGTACGCACATGGTTCTGCTTTATCAAGCCTAACGGGACGCTGCGGTGGGTGCAAGATTTGCAAAGACTGAATGCGGTGACCGTGCGGGATGCTGGAGGATTGCCCAATGCAGACGCGCTGTCAGAATCCTGTGCTGGAAGGCCTATAATTTCGCTTATAGACCTTTACTCGGGATATGATCAGTTCCCAGTCTACCCACCGAACAGGCCTATGACGGCTATGCACACGCCGCGAGGGCTAATCCACATGAACGTGGCCCCACAAGGGTGGACCAATGCGGTAGCAATGGTCCAACGGGCCATGATTCGGGCTATGAAGTCAGTCAGCCCCCGTATCACACAACCATACATCTACGATTTGGCAGTGAAGGGGCCGCCGGTGAAAGAGAGCGACGAAGTCCCGCCAGGGGTAAGGCGCTTTGTTTGAAAACACATCCACGACCTCGAAAAGGTCCTGAGCCTGCTCGAGGAGCATAACCTTACGGCAAGCGGGGCCAAATCCAGACACTACATGAGGGAAGCGACCATTTTGGGGTTCGTCTGCAGCGAGAAGGGCCGAAGGCCGAATGTGAAGAAGACGAACAAGATTATTGAGTGGCCGGTTCCGTTCCACTCAATAACTGATGTCAGGAGCTTCCTTGGTACGTGTGAATTTTTGAGGGCCTTCGTCAAGAACTTTGCCGCTAAGACTGAACACCTGAGGAAGTTAGTCCGTCAGGATCAGGAATGGGTTTGGGGTGAAGAGCAAGAAGAGATGGTGGTCAGAATGAAGGAGGAACTTCGAGAAGGAGGGTTGGTGTTAGGAGCGCCAGACTATGATGCCACAGAAACACGACCCTTCATTGTCGAAACAGATGCGGGGCCAACTGCTTAAGGAGGAGTTCTAATCCAGGCAGACATAGAGGGAAAGGAAAAGCCCTTGAGATTTTAGAGTCGGACTCTTTGTACTACCGAGAGGAACTACTCTCAGTTCAAGAGGGAGACCCTTGCCGTCCTCCACTGTCTCCGAATCTTCCGGAACTACATCTTCGGCAGGAGGTTTATTTTGAGAGTGGATCCGACCGCCCTGACCTACTCTCTAAGGAATTACGTTCCATCAGATCCGACGGTTGCCAGATGGCTGACGTACATCTGGATGTTCAATTTCGAATTGGAACGGATTCCTGGCAGTAAGAACCGGGCGGACGGGCTGAGTCGGATCAACTGGGATAAACAGGAAGGGGAGGCGATGGAGAATACGCCCCCAGTTGATGGATTTCTGGATCAGGAAGAAGATGTTCGTCTCCACATCAATAAGTGGTCGCCGCGAGTACCCAGCTGTATAGGCTATCCTATCTGGCAAGCGTCGAATGGGTATGAAAGGAGGGCCGAGTTAGTCCTCAAACCCTTTGAAGAAGAGGATCCCTGGGGTGGTAAGGATGTTCAGTGGATGATGGAGTTAGCGTTGGCCAGCTCGCATAAGCCTGGTGGAGGATATGAGGACGATTGAGGAAGGGCCTGGCCAGGTAGAACGGTATGAGGACCTGATGGGAGGAATGTATCTCCTCGTCAACTCGTTATTGCAGGAAAGCCTCGACCAGCCAGGCTCGTTGAACCCGACAGGGAATGTGGACGAAGTGCCCGAGAGCCAGGACGACAAGTTCGAGGAGGGGGAGATTAAGGAGGTTTTTCGTGCAGAGGAGTATGACGGGATCTACCTAGAGCAGAGGCTTCTTCTGTCATGTGAAATGCGGCTAAGGGATGCAAGCGATAGGGCTCAGAGGATGCTGCAGCGCTATTTAGTGCGAGACGGCCACCTTTTCGTGAGAAGAGAAGTGGGGAATCCCAGGAGAGTCGTCTGTGGTAGGAATCGTCAGATCGACGTCGTAGCAGCACTTCATGATGGCATTGCAGGAGGGCATCGAGGGGTACAAGCCACGTATGCCAAGATAAGTGAGTTGTACTACTGGGATGGGATGATGGACATGGTCGGGAAGTTCTGCCGATCTTGCGTACCCTGCCAGGAGAGATCCCGTTTAAAGCAAGGAGAGTCGTTGCATCCAAGGCTAGAGCGAAAGGTGGGGGCTGTAGTGCATCTCGATCTACTTTTTATGCCGCTTGGGGATCAGGGCTATAACTATATCTTCGATGCGTGCGATAACCTGTCCGGCTTCGTAGACGGGCGTGCTATTCACACAAAGACCGGGTCAATCCTGGTAAGCTGCATCGAGGAGTATTATCTACGGTATCCTTTCGTCAGGGAATTCATAATGGACAGGGGATCGGAGTTTACCTGCAAGGAGGTGCAAGAATTGTTATCAAGGTATGGTGTAGCAGCCAACTACACCACGGCCGCACACCCCCAGGCAAATGCTCCCGTGGAGAGAGGACATAGTACTATTACGAGCCTCCTGGCTAAGTGGACCGAAGGTAGGCCTAATCAACGGCTAAGATACCTAAGGGCGGCGTTCTTTGTCGAGAACATTACAGTAAGAAGATCCACCAAGTACGCACCGGCGACGCCGTGGTATAGAAGGCACGCCACCTTCCCTATCGAGAGTTTTCTTAAGACATGGAGGCACCAGGATCTGGAAGTTAGCCTGTCATTCGAAGAACTGTTCGATATTCAGGCGCGGCAGATAGGGGTGATAGAAGAAAGGATCCAGGAGGCGTCTGATCAGGTGGCAAGAAGCCGTATGGATGATAAGACTCGATGGGATTAGTCTGCGCTGGTGAGGAAGGTACCCTTGGCAGTTGGGGATGCCGTGCTTCTCTACGATTCACCTTTGGAGAAGCAGTGGTCCAGAAAACTCGATAAGAGGTGGTTAGGTCCCTACGGGATCGTACGGGTTGGAGACTTCGGAGCATACCAGATCGAAGAGCTAAATGAGACTGAGTGGAAGGATTGGGTATCTGGGACGCGACTGAATAAATTTGAGGCGAGAGAAGAGGTAAGAGAGATAACATGACTACCTTTAGAATAGAAGTAATAGGGTGTGTAGGTTAGGTAGGATGCATGCCGCATGAGTGTGGCCTGGTCTGAGCTTGCTTTGATTATCACCTGTTTTGCTTACCCCAATGTGTGCCTGTTGTCTCCTTCGCCTGTTGTGCAGGTCTGACTTTACAAAGACAGCCATGCCAAGAGGAAGGAAGGGGACACGGCCGCCTAAGAGGCCGTTGGGCGCATCAGGGGGATATGAGCGGCATGGTCCTCGCCATCGAGAGAGCACTCCAGAGTACGACAGTGGCGATATCGAGTTATTCCTAGACACCTTCTGGGAGCATGCGCGGCGTATGGGTTGGACTGTGACCCAGGGGATTGAGAGGCTGAGGGGAGTCGGCAGATTCGAGGAGCCCGTTGCACTGATCCGTAGAGAGGCGATGACAAGATCAGAGGTGGAGTTGAGGATGCAGGAGTTGTGACCCTCGCATGTGGGACCTGATGGCAGGTCTATCCGCCTGGAGATTGGAAATGCGTCGGACTTCATCCCCGCGTTTTAGTGGTTCATGCAGGGGTAAGGTATACCGAGGGACGATTGGATGCAGTCATTACCACTCTGGACCAGGAAGGCGGAAAGACCACTGGCTAGGCAGGTTAGAAGCATGGTCCGGGACTGGGAGAGCTGCAGGGCACATTTGAGAGAGGCCTTTCGACGGCCAGAGCCCCCTCAACCCAGAATAGAGAGGCATCAGAGGAGTCAGAGGCAGAGGGACCCTGAGCCCAGGGAGGCGAGACCATCTCGAGGAGGACGGAAGGTCCTAGCCAAGAGAGAAGAGGAACCGGAGCCGGAGCCAGAGGCTGAGGAGTGAGGGGCATATCCTGAGTGTGGGTTGGGACCAGTGGAGTTCTATCAGTTTACCGAGGGTGGATTGAGGAGGTCGTCAGCACGCACACAGGAGGAGCCGCCAACATTTGAGGGGTCCTTGAGGGAGTTGGAGACGCATTTGGATATCTCTCGGTGGAGGGCATCGCCTCGAGGTGAGGAGCATGGAGAGCAGGCAGAGGAGGTACCACGAGAGGAGGTCCAGGATACTCAGCGAGAGAGAGGGCTGGGCGATGTGGGGAGACGTGAAGGGAAGGAAGTAATAGAGGTTGGAGAGGACACGCCCCCATAAACGCCAGCGGTGGGTTTGAGACTCGGGGATGCACCAGGGGGCACTCGCCAGGCAGGGGAGAGCTTGCAGAGAGAGGAGGCCCCATTGCCTTCATCAGAAAAGGCCCCTTCGCCAGAAGGAAGGGCAGAAAGGAGGAGAGAGATGGCAGTTGTAAGGAGAGAAGCCTTGACCCTGATTGACAGGCACCTAGCAGCCCATGCCCTGGAGCACCCAGACCTGGAAGAGCCAGCACCTGCAGTGTCGCGCCAGGAGCCGTGCCAGCCCGAGAAATAGATGGAGGCAGAGATCCCGAAGAGGGTCGACCTCCGCACGAGGGAAAGGGTGCCAGCTGGAGAGACAGCAGAGGAAAAGAAGGCGAGAAGAACCAGGAGGATAAACGAGACATGGCAAGAGAGGCAGAGGTTGGAGGCAGCGGGGGAGCTTCCAAAGCAGCAGCAGGAGAAGCAGGGATCGGAGGCAGCAGAAGCACTCCCACGTCAGCCACCCAGCGCGCCAGCTAGGGCCCCGGAGATCCCTGAGATGTGGAGGGACTTATGGGAGCAGAGAGGAGAGGAGCTTCCTTCGCCAGTCAGAGTCGGGTTTGGGGTGGCCAGGAACGCGGAAGAGAGGTTAGATCGCAAAATCAAGTTGCTGGCCAAAACAACTTTTGACCGGCACTTGTTATTGGAGAGCGATCTGGTAGGGAAGAAAAAAAAGGAAGCAAGCCATGGAGTACGCCTGGAGGCTATGGAGATGGAAATACAGGAACTCAGGGCATTGGTGGTCAGCCAGGCAGCTATCATTGAGAACCTGAGGTAGCAAACTCAGGGAAAGGTGGACAAGCCAGAGAGCAGCCGGCAGGGCGAGCAGAGGCAGCCAGGACAGGGATTGCCAGGACATCCATCTGCAGCAGAGCCTCGCTAGGAGCCACCTATGGGGAGGGTTATCCTGGAGCCAGAGGAGGCGAGAGCCCAGAGACAGGCGGAGAGAGAGGCATTCGAGTTCAGAGCCCCTACCGAGCTCGCGACGCTGCCAATGGTGGCGGCGGGCCCAGTCGTACCTTTGGCAGTAGAGGAGGGGCGGCCACCATCTAGCAGTGAGCCGGCTTAAGGCTCAGCAGAGGGATCCATGGGTGTGCTCCTTGAGGCGGTGCATACTATGCAGGAGGAGGTGAGTTTGTTTTCACCCGAGCAAAGGATAGAGGAGCCTCTTGAGAGAGAGATGGGGATTGAGGCGGAGGGTGCCATCGAGGGCGGGCTCTAGAGGTTGGGCACGCCTGAGTATGGACCAGAGGAGATTGGGGAGCAGCCCATGGCAGTGGCAGGAGAGACACTCGAGAGGAGACCTTAGAGGTTGGACACGCCTGAGTACGTCCCAGCAAGAGGGGATTTGAGGAGCAGACTGGGATCTTGGGCTACTGGATCCGGGTCTGGGAGACCGGTTCCTGGGATGGAGCAGCAGGAGGTTGTTAGTACCACAACCCCTCGATCAGAGTAGCAGGGGGTTGTCAGTACCTTGGTAGGATCTCCTTCATCGCCACCTCCTTAGCCCAGGAAGAAGAAGTTCAACAGGAAGGTTGATCAGCTATGCTTCTACTGCAAGAGGGGCATGCATCTGGCTCTGGACTGTCTCGAGTTCCTTGAGGATAAGGCAGAAGGGAAAGTCTCAGAGGCAGGGGGTAAGATGTATGATAGACAGGGTAGGATAGTAGAGAAGTCCGCAGATGGACTTAAGGCTCAGTTATATAGGCAAAACCAGGAGGAGTTGAGGAGGTAGGGTCGGTTTGTCTATGTAAGTGGGCGAGTATTTTGTGAGGCATTAGCTTAGGTTATGTGTGATACCCTTTTAGACTTAGAGGACCTTTTTTATGATTGCTACTAGTCTAGATCTGAACTCTAGTGTTCCTACTGAGCTGGGATCTTGAGGATCAGGGTGATCTAGATGAGGCATGTACATATTTAGGTGGCCTACGCACTGGCTTTGAGAGACAGATCTGACATGTATTTTAGGGATAATTGTCAGCGTGAGTTTGATGTGGCTTGAGTTGAGTGAGCTATGATTTGAAGACTTTTTCTGTGTGAGACATTTTATTTCCCTGAGTGTATATTATGATGAGGTTTTTTCAGGGACCATTCTTATATATGACGATCACTTGTCTCCCTCATATGTGTGGTTGTGCTCTGATGTATGATGAATTTGTGTGGACAATGTGTGAAAAACCTTTTATATGTCATGGATAATGTGAATATGATTGTAAGTAAAACTGTCTACTCCTCGGTATACTTGTGCGACCTGCCCACGGGCAGCTGATAGGGCAGAATATAAGGGGAGGAAGCGCAGCCCGTCTGTGAAAGGTTGTGAGGATTTTGAAGATTTATGAGCCCTGGAGGCTTAAAATGCTTACTATGTTGATTATTGATTGCTTAAGTTGTGATAAGGACCCATAAGATGGTCTCTCAGTGATTTGTTTATGATAAGCCCCCTTGGATTTTGGAAAAGGGGATGTTTTGTGATGTTGCTTGTTATGATGAGACCCCCTCGAGTTTTGAGGAGGTGAAGTTTGGTTTTATGGCGAGACCCCTCGTGATTTCTGGAAGAGGGAGTGTATTGTTTCATGGCGAAACCCCTCGTGATTTTTGGAAGAGGGGGTGTTTTGTTCTGTGGCGAGACCCCTCGTGATTTTTAGAAGAGGGGATGTTTTGTTTATGATGGGAGCCCCTTGGATTTTTGGCAAAGGGGATGTTTTTGTTGTTGGGAGACTCACCTTCAAAGGTGAGGTCAACTGATTTATGACATGGTAAGTTGTCTGATGAGTGATAAAGTCTGACGAAAAGGGTCACTTTTTTTGGAATGTTTGAGAAAGTCGCAATGAGTGAAGGGCGAGAGATGTCTCAGGGTGGGTGGCTGCTGGCTCTGATCAAGTCAATGGTCACGGCCTGGTGGATTTAGCGGTGATTTTGTTTTTAAGCATGCGAAGGATGCCATGCCTATTGAGGGAGGGCTGGTAAATGCCTTCGGACCCCTGCGTATCGCGCAGTGAGCCAGTGATTTTGTTTTGCGACGCCCCCGTCTAACCACTGGTGCTAATTCTGAGACATATTGAAGAAAGGTCAAGCTAACGGAAAAGAAGTTAGTACCTCTAGGGCGTAACCCCATTGGATGGCTGCTAGCCGACGCAACCTGGCTGCGGGACCGCGTGGGTAAGAGTTTAAGGGGGGGGGGGGCGCCCCAGTGAAATTACTCCGCGGGATAGTGATGGTTGAGAATTTTTGGGGGAAATCATGATTGAATGCTTATCAGGAGAAAACCTATCGTTGCGTAACCAACGAGGGTACTGCTGCTAAATAACAATGTGGTGGCCCGTAGTCCTGGTCCAATCAGCCAGGCTATGGTGGGCCAAGATGGAGACCTAGCCTTTCTGGACTAGACTGAAGAAAGAGTTGAGCGAATATTAAGTATACATATATGCTTATGGGTATTTGATTGCGAGGGATTTTTTGAGAAGGAAGGCGAAAGTGCTTTCAAAAGGTCTCGATTAAGGCCCGCGTCCCTAGTTTTTGTCAGGACTAGGGACACCCAACGAGAAGCAGAAGGTTGTCTAGGACCGGGTAGAGGACGATTGGGAAGGTCTTTGGAACTTATGCGGTCAGCGTTCTAATTTCAGGGCGGTGAGAGGCCCAGGTTAGAAATCTGGCAGCATATAGTTGTGGGGGCATGTTTTGATGTAGGCCTCTACCCTGTGTTTTTCGGCTAATCGGATTGGCTCCTGTTTCGTCAGCATTTGGAGTGTGGATGGATTTATAGCTTTCTGATTTGGCGAAGCGACGGGGACGTCGCTTAATATGGTCCGGTAAGCTGTCGGTGCGAATACCCTTACAAGGGTATCCGCCCTGGTTTTTGCAAGTGCCAGGGAATAAGTCTAGTTGAAGTTTGAGTATACCGCACGAGTCGCGGCAATGTCGGTCATTTACGTTGACTGGATGGTTGACTAGAGTAAAGAGTGTGTGGGCGTGCAGGTTTAAGGCGCGCGTGATTCATCCCTTGATATTGATTACGAAACCGGCGTGGGCGCCGGTCTATTTATTTTTATTCTTATCCTTAAGTTTTATTTTTGGTTACGCTTGATTAAACACGGATCTAGGGGAGGCTTTCTTTTGATGGCTACGTTTGCGGAGAGCGACCCCGACGACGGCATCGCCAAGGACGGCGCGGCTTCGTGCGGAGAGCAGGGTGTCATAGGATGGCACGCAGGGCAATTATGGCACTGTATAAGCGAGCCGGCACGGACGCTGGGAGCCGCGCGGCCGGTTTATTGACCCAAGGCGTCGCGCCGCACTGCCTTGTATGGTACCCTCCGGGCATTGGTCCCAGGCTTGGGCATAGCCCTATAGGTTATGAAAAC